GGCGCGCCTGGCCTCCTGCTCCTTGTGCTGGCTACTGGGCGCTGGGGTGCGGCGGGCGCCGGGGTCCGCGCGGCTGGAGGTGAGTCTGGGCGTGGGGGGCGGGCGTCAGAGGGGCGCTGGAGGCAGGTGTTTTTGTTCTGCCTGAAGCTTGAAGTGAAGTTTCAGTTAAATGCCCAGAGGTGTTCGTTTCAGTGCAGAGAAAAGGCCACCTGGACTTTTGTTCTGTGACTTGCATCTCTGGAGATGGTCAGAGGGCTTGGTGGTCTTCCATATAACTTTTCCATGAACAGATGCCGCTTTTACCCGGCAGATCTTTCAATTTGCGATCTCAGCTGCACTCCCCACATTCTTTATTCTCCGTAAGTGTGGAGGCGCTTTGGGTTTCGTATTGGAGGCTGAGACTCTAACTCCCTGTGGTCCCTTCGACCCCCTTTTTGCACCCCCGACCCTTGCCCCACGAAGCATTTGAAAACCCTTGGATTCACCGGGAGATCCAGGGTGCCAGCAGGCGGCTGCGGCTCCAGGCAACAAGGCTGGCTGTTCGCTCACATCCTAAGCTCCTGAGAGCAGTTGTTTCTCTGGATTTTGTATGTCGTGGTTTTGGACAGGAATAGAAACACAAAAGAATGCTTAGTGCTTCACAAATAAAGGCACTTTATAAAGTTTTAGAGTCAGTGATCTAAATACTTTGAGGAAAAATGCCACTCTTTATGGAGTAGCTATGGTGTGACCTGCACGTAGAAAGGAGCCCGGTAAGCAGGAGGTGAAAGTCCCTCAGTATCCAGAGGAAACATTATATGGGTATCAGAAGAATTTTTTCTTGTCTTTCTTAAGATTTTGGAACTCTCTTGATTCTACCTAATAATAGTCTACAGAGTTCGCTTTTTTTGCATTGCAGCATGTATTACTTAATGTAGCCTGGAGAGAAAGAATGAGGAGTGTAATTTAAACAAAGAAAATCCTGTGTAGGGAATGATAGGTTAACAAAAAGAAAGGGATGTGATCTTAGAGCCACACAATCTTGGATTCAAATTGTGACTCTGGTGTGTCCTGTTTTCAGATTTCTGGAGTCAGGTTGTTTTCAGGTTTAAATAATTTATGAAATGTCAGGCACAGTCCCTTACACTCTAGAAAATGTGAGGTCCCTACTTGCCCACTTATGTGAAAATAGAAGTTTTGAATCTTTTTTTTTCTCCCTAAAACATTGTAGCCAAGCTTTAAATGATGTAAAAAGCTATTTGTTCATTCATGGTGTTAGATATTATAATGAGACAATCAGAGCTGATTAATTCTTCCTTATAGCCCCCTTACTCACAGAGTACCTGTCATAAATTTAATTACATCTACACAAGGTTTTTTTTAAAATTTTATAATAGTTTATTTTTACATATTTTTGTGCAATCTTCCATCTCAGTTGCAATCCCCTTGGGTTTCCCATCACCAGATCACCCATGTGCCATCACCATAGTCCAGTGCATTTCCCTCCCCCCACTGTTCTTGTTTCCATTCCCCACTCCATCCCCACAAAATGTCTCTGGTATATAGCTGTTCATCATTACCATCTTTTTCTCACCTGTTCCATTATATTCCTGTTATGAGAGAAACCATCTGGTATTTTTTCTTTTCTTTCTGACTTATTTCACTAAGCATGATCTTTTCAGCTCCATCCATGTTGCTGCAAAAGACATGTGTTTCTTTTTCTTGGTTGCTGAGTAATATTCCATTGTATATATGTACCACATCTTTTTAATCTAGTCATCCATTTTTGGGCATTTGGGCTGTTTCCATGTCTCTCCAATTGCGAATAAAGCAGCAATAAACATGGGAGTGCAGGTATCTTTTTGAATCAGTGTTTTTGTGTCTTTTGGGTAGATACCTAGGAATGGGATTGCTAGGTTGTAGGGAAGCTCCATGTTTAGCAGTTTGAAGAACCTCCAAACAGTTTTCCATGGTGGTTGTACTAGTTTGCATTCCCACCAGCAGTGCAGGAGAGTTCCTGTTTCTCCACATTCTCACCAACATTTGTTGTTGCTAGTTGTTTGAAGATGTGCCATTCTTACTGGAGTGAGGTGGTATCTCATGGTGGTTTTAATTTGCATCTCCCTTATTACAAGTGATGTTGAACATTTTTTCATATGCTTGTTGGCCATCTGCATTTCCTCTTTGGAGAAGTGTCTTTTTAGCTCTTCTGCCCATTTTTTGATAGGGTTGTTTATTTTTGTTGAGTTTTATCAGTTCTCCATATATTTTTGTGATCAATCCTTTATCGCTAGTTTTACACAAAGTTTTTTCTTTGTTTCAGTGAGTTTCAGTCTCATCCTGTGTTATCTCTACGGTCTATTGTAAATGTTTGTGGACAAATGAGTAGAACAGTGGTATCTCTCTGAATATTAGATTCCTCATCTGAAAGGTGAGGCATCATCAAAGATGTGTGTTCTAAATGAGGGATCACTTGAAAAATAAAGTGATATTGAATGTGTTGTAGAATTGCACACTTATTCCTAAAGGTTAATTTGCTTTTTGTGTAAAACTACCTTTGAATGTTAGGTAGTCAAACTACTGACTGGAGTCTGGAGCCCTGACACTAACTAGCTGTGTTTCTTCAGTCATTTTATATAACCTTACTGATCTTTATTTCTCCTTTAAAAAGAGGATTATGTGAATGGTTAGTCCCTTCCAACTATTATTACTTTTAGAATTATATTTTATATTTACATTTTATTGTTTTCATAGATAACTCCTATGTTTTTTTGTGAGCCAGTCCCCTGAAAAAGAAAATGTCTAGCCTGCCAAGCAGCTGTACTTATTTGACGGATGTAAGGTCATAGAGCTGGAAAAGGTGGTTCAGGAGGTGATTTTTTTTTTAAAAAAGATTTATTTATTTATGCATTCAGAACTGGGGTACAGACCAGAGGTGCAAGGGCAGCAAGAGGATTCACCAGAGACAGAGTGAGGAGCAGAACAGGCATACTGAGGAAGTACACTGCTGAGGAGAACAGCGGGTGGGTCAGGAAAGGTCTGCTGTGCCATATGGGTCACCTCCGGTGTGGGGATCGAACTCATGCTGAATTGGCTTTTGCTTCTTAGTGCTGCTTTATCCACTGTACCACCAGGGATTTTTCTCAATTGTGACAATCATTTCTTCCCCCACCTCCAGTTTCTGGTCTTGGGACATTCCTTCAGGAGGTGATTTTGTCTGTATTAAAGAATAGAGAATTAACTAGTATATTAAAGTAATAGAAGCCTTTTAAATTGACCTCACCATGATTGGGACAGTGATGTATGGAAATTAGTCAGTTATGTGTCCTAACTGTGCACTGCTGTGGCTTTTAGATTGTGGAGTGACTGAATTCTGTCTCATTCAAAGAGAAACAAAACAGTTATACAAAATGAGAGCAGGTATTTTCCTGTCTCACTAATCATTTTCATGAACATTTTCAGAAACTAGCAGAAAACACACGTCGTATCTTTCATCTCTGCTTCTGTTGTGGTTGCACCTGAACAGTAGGTGCCTCATACTCTTAGATAAACGTTTTAGACAATTTGGTTTGAAGTTAGAAATTTTCTTGGTTTCCTGGCAAATACTAAATAAATATACCCTATGAGCTGGACTGTGATGGCCTGGGAAGTAGGATTTTATTGTCTAACTCCTGGTAGTTTGCAAATATGCCCGAGTCTACTAATGCAGCCTATGGATGGAAACTTTAAAAAGTTTTCAGTCATTTGACAGAATGCATTTTTTTTTTCAATCCATAATCTACAAATTAGATCTAGCAAGTAATTTTTTATAGTTAGGATATGAGTTTCTAATACAGTAATTTCAGTATAATATATATATTTTTCTAATAGTTTTGGTCTTGTTGCCTAAGTATGGAATTACATTCTTTACAAATGTCATGTTAATATTAAGTAGACCTGCTGAATATGAGTAAGTATTGGAATAGTTTTTTGAAAAGTGTTTACTTCTTAGGAATTTCTACAGAAGACCATAGATATAGTTTAATAATGATAGTAGGTTAGAAAAGTTTATATTTTTACTAAAGTGTAACTGACATACAACATTATGAGATGTTTTAAATTATTTTTATACACTGTGACTAAAATTTTAATATTCTGTCCAATTTTAGTCAAGCATCATTGTTTCTCCTGCATGTGTCATTGGGTGACCTTATGCTCTTTTCTTATAAAGAAGAATTATATGCTCGTCCAGTGAAAATAGGAATTATATGACTATTTGAATTCTCACAACAGGAAAAATATAAACTTCTGGTATTTTTATTTTGTAATCAGTGTTGCATTATGGAATTGAGAAAAGTTATTTCTCCTCTATGATGAGGCTTCTCAACCTAAGCCCAGATAATTCTTTGTTATGGGAGGCTGTCCTTACTTGGTAGGTTGGGGGTGGGACATCATCCCTGCCTCTTTATTCATGATGTGCCGGTATTATCTGTCCTAAAAATATCTCCAGAAACTCTCAGTTTGCCTACCTCTTTGAAAATTATTATACTCCAGGGCTTCTCAAAGTTGAATTTACCGAGGAATCCCTTGTGATGTGGTTGGAATGCAGCTCTGATTTCATAGGTCAGAGGTGGGGTTGAGCATCTTCGTTTCTATCAAGTGCTTGGGTAATGTGGGCATTGCAGGTCAGAGGTCCACACTTTGAGAAGCAAGTGTGTAGATAGTTTCCCACTCATTAATTGGGTAAGTTCTCAATGGATTTGATGACAGTAATTAAGAAAATAGTGAGTGAACTAGATAACTCAAGTGAGGTAAGACCAATAGAAACCAAGACTCAGAACTATCCCACCAGCCTAGCAAATGACACTGGCTTTGTGTCTCCATAATTTCTGCTGGTCTAAGCATTCCATCATAATTGGACAATCCTAAGGAGGAAATTTCTGAGTTTTATCAAGGTCATACAGGTAATAGCAAACCAAAACAACTTTTTTGCCACTGGGTATTTTAGCTCACAATACTGTAAATGTGCTAGGTTAGAATACATATTTATTGACTGCTGAGAGGTTTGTGGTATCACAATAAAATAGTGAATATTGCATTTACTTGATCTGATTGATGCTC